CAGTGGATATCTAATTTAAATAGCCTCTACAACTGAGCCTAATTTGTAAAGAACTGGTAAAATAAGCAACATAACACATAACGGAGTACAACACCATTTGCAGCTAAATTTCCAACGCAACCATATTTGTTGAGACTGATGGAAAAAAACAACACTTGAGCTTGTTTTCTTAGACAGTATCAGATCTGATAGCTTTAAAATAGCAATGAGAGAGTTTGACAGAAAGCGACAGTATGTGAACGCTTCCGCTCTTTTTGTACTTCATAATAAGCAGAATTTCGAAAAGTTTTCTAGCAGTTCCGGCATAGTTGAAGAGTGAAATGGAACTGTATGAAAAGATAGATGTCCCTTTCTGACAAGCGTCGTTCCTTCAAAGAAAGAACCGAATTTTATCAATTTTTTTTTTTTTTTTGATCCGGGTATGAACGGTCTGTGCCATAAAGTGCTGGGAACTGAATGATTAAAGCATTCGGTGACCCCGTCGTCCACAAAAGAGCAAAAAGTACTGCAAAAGTGCTTTTGAAAAATCTCATCAATTTCGAAGGAGAGTGATAAATTTCTTGTCTGGCGTGGAAGCAAGCCATCCATAACAGAAAGCGTATTTGTACTGGCTCATTGTTGTTCCTTCAATTATACGGCGGTTATAATGAAAGCACGAAAGAGAATGACGTTCTTTGTGTTAAAACACAGAGGAAATTATGCTCTGCTGAAACCTAATATCTGCCTTCTTAAAGCACTTAAGCACATAAACAGTGGTTTGAGTAGCACACCCAACGAACGGGATCGAGAACGAACAGTCCAAAATTCAAAACCAACGGAACAGACAGCTTGCGTTTTCGAAGGAAAACTGGCTTACTATTAGCATCGGGAAATGAAAATATCACGGAAAACGCATGTCTTCGTCAAGTCCATAGTGCAAGGAAAGAAAGAAAATCAAACAAAAATGGATGCTCTTTAAAAGCACAGGATCACTTGGACAATCAGTGTAAATAAATCCTATGTTGGTGTTGTGATGCTTCCCACACGCCTGGCCCAGCTTCGCCAGAACCTTCAGTCACCGCTTGCATACTTGCAGTTAGTATCCATCGCCTGCTCGGTATGTGTGCGCCATATTTTCGGCAACCATTTAGTTTCTCGCAGGGGACACTCACTCATACGCGGCGCACCTTTGGTTGTCAGGATAGCAAGTCAGGTTTTATTTTTCCGTGTGGTCTCAAAAAACATCCTGCACGCCGCTTGTCTGATAGGCAGTCTATGTGGTCATTCGATTGTGCAGAAGCAAGCAAATATTTGGCCATAAAAATTCCGCATCCAAAAGATAATGAAAAAACATCCACTGTCATTCCGAAATTCAAAAGATATCAACTGGTATCCATTTTACGTAAGATATCAACTCCTACTGGAATTGTGGCACATGTACAAAATAAAGCTTCAATTTCTTCAAAGTCAACACCATCCATCTAAGACCTGGCAGCGCGTTGTATCATTGCCATTCTCGACGCATTATTTCCCAAAGCTACTACCTTACTTCATTCCGTAACGTCCTGTACTACATCTTTATTTCGCAAGATCTGCTCGCACTATAAATTATGTCATCTGCGAAACGCAAGTGATTTAGCTTTTCTCCACTGAGGCCCAGACCTCCGCTTTATTCCGGCTTATGAAATATCATCCTTTGGGCGATATCGAATCGCCTTATCTTACATCCCTCTTTATCATCATACCCAATGGAGTGGGAAAAATTACACCCATCGAACACCCTCCTTTAACGATCACTAGTTCCCACCAGTCAGCAATAGCTTGTTACTTAGCAGTCAGCTCTGCGCTGTTCAATGCTTTTTCGTAATCGACGAATAAAAGATTGAGAGGAGAGAGTTTAGAATGCTTTGAGCGTTCAATCATTAATTTAATGGGTAATGCACCTTTACGTACAACACAATTCAAAGCGCCTTTACAGAAGTCTTACACAAGGATCATCACCCTTTTCTCTTTTATTTTCCAGCTTCGCAATTTTCGTCCCGAATTGCATGGCCCGTTTTGGTGTAGTGCACAACACGTCTGGCGTGCCAAGAAGCTGTAAATTATTCAGTCGGTACAATCGTCAAAGAAAGGAGATTTTTTAACCATTTATACACAGTTTCAATAGCTTGCCCTTAAAGTTTCTCGTATAATCCATTTTTCACCAATCCCTCGCGGCTGAGTAAAATCTGTTTTGCATTCCAGTGGCAAAGAAGCCACCCATTCCACGTACAAATCATCGAGAAATGGCATCCTAAAATTTTATGAGAATAGTGAAATTTGAGCATCCCGTTGTATTGTGGATTTAAATACCGCTGAAGCAAATTTGGTCCCGCACTCTGTCATTCTCTAGTGGAAAATTGTACTTTCTATCGCTATAGCACGTAAAGGGGTACCAATCCGGATTCTTTGTTCCTGTTCCTCGATTACGAACAGCAATAGGTAGCGTAATTAAATATGAGCCCTTGCAGGTGAAGAGACTGATGAGATTATACTTAACGGCATCAACCTTAAATGTTTGCCCAAACTCGAAACAACTCGATCATCCCGACCGAGGTTCCTTCCACCAATCCGCTGCAACTCTTGACACAGTTCATCCAGAACAGCTTTTCTTCCTTTCTTTAAGTAGGTAGCTCGATGTCGCATATATCCGCCAAATAACTCATCCGCGCCACTTCCAGCCACAACTATTTTCGCTTCTGAACTTCTAAAATTAAAAATCCCATTAATTCCAAATACGCTGAAGGAGATCTTTGAAGAACCCGACTTACAATTTGCAAAAAAACTAAAGCACCGCTGTGAAATACTATTAAGTCACTCTAGCGGCACATCCCAGTGAAAAACAGAGCCAAGAACTTGAAATGATGCGAAGAGTGGAGCCAAATAAGCGAAAGTGCTGAAAACGAACTTCATCAAAGCATCTTCGCATTCCTCGAAAAGTACGCCTTCGCCCCGCGCAGCAAACCACTGTGCGCAACCGACTGAATCGTCCAACACCGAACTTGCTGGCGCTAATGCACTTGCGATATACTTTTTACGACACTCAGCCAGTTCATTTAAATCGACATTAACCAAACAAAGATGGAAGCGTCGCTCCGGATAGCGGTATTTTAAGAATTTGTATGCTTTGATACTTTGTGGCCGATCCGGCGCTTCCTCATATTTCTTAAAAAAACATTTGTATATCAGCTTGGGCACACCAAGCTTTTATCAGTTTCTCTTTAATCTCTTTGGACAACATGCAACTGTTCTCACATATCAACACCACCATTATCATTATCATCATCATTGTCATCATCACCATCGTCGTCATTATCATCAATTATCAAAATCATTCATAAGGAAAATCATACCTCTTGCTCTTTGGCAAATGCGACATTGACAAGATACAAAGATACATTTGGCGGCAGGCACTGTGCAATAATATGCGCAAGAAGCAGGCTATCAATACCTCCACTAAATGAAACTGATATAAACTCGGTGTGTCGGCTAACATCGCTTAATGTACGATGAACGGCCCCTCTTAACTGTTCCAGCATCGCCGCTGCTACAGTTTGACGGCATACCTCAAGCACAACATCTTTTGTAGCACGGAAATACGCTCAAATTAAAAGGGACTGAAGCGGAGCTATTCCGACGAAATTACAAGCGATTCAAGAATGCGCTAAATCAATGCGCATACGACTGGGCTACCTGCTCCTCAG